CAAGAGATACTATAATCTATACTAGTAATCCATGCTAAAATGTCTTCATTCTTCAACATCATCAGTTGGCCCTGCCCTTGGATGTTCAGGAAGAAGCCCTTTTTCAATTCTATATCGACATCTGAACTGCTGTAATTAAAAAGGAACATAGAATTTTTCACTGAGAGAAAATCTGATCACTTTATAATGTGCTGTTCTTTTAAAATCGTCTCTACCACCAGACAATTTCACTTGCCAAGGAGATAGGCATGCATGTCAAGGAGATGGGCATGCAGGCTAGTAATACCAGTCCAGATATAAAATCTGTAAAAACAGGCAAATAACTCCTAAGTCTTCTAAATAGTCTTTCAAAGTAATTTAACACTTACTGTAAAGAAAAATTATCCTAATATTAGGGGACTTTCAAAATTCATCGTGAAAATCAAGCTTTGGTGGCGCAATATCTTCCCCAGATATTAGACGCCATTTTGGCAAAGGTTGAATTGAGTATGGTCACTTCAATGCCAAATATCTCGAAAACTCCCGGGGGATCCCGGGGATCCCTCCAGCAGATTTTTAGTTTAGACATTTGTCTTGATTTTTTTGCAAAAATTACGAAAATCGAACCATGGGAATTCCAGATTTTTTAGTTTGAAAATTGTAAACAGATTCGGACTTGAGTCATCACGTTGCCAAGGCATGACCAACTTTAATCATCGAAAACAGGTTAAAAAATAACGTTTACCTCAGAAATTCTTGCACATATCGCCAGTCCTTTTATAATACTAAGGCCATGGTTGCATTTTGATAGAAAAATATGAATATTTATATATATTTTTTGAGTTCTTCTGTGTCCAATGCAAATTAGAAGGCCAAAATTATTCGCCAACACGATGGAAAATAAAGCGATCTCATTGGTCGAGAGCTCACGTGACAACTCGCTAATTAGCTGTCCAACCTCCTCTGCCGCCATGACTTGAATCGAATGTCTCGTTACGTCACAGTAGATTTTGATTCTACCGTGACGTAGGCACAGAGTAAGGATATACAGAGGCGGAACTCGAGGCAAATCATGTCCCCACTTTTTTAATGCGCATGCGCGACCCTCTGGCAAGTGTCATGCACATTTTTTATCAGGAAAAAGATAGGGAAATGCAAAATTTTGGCAGTAAAACGGCGATTTTAAGCGCAGTAAACGATCTATCTTCATTTTGTGCACGAATTTTGCAAATAAATGGCACACTGCGTCTTCTTAGCAAAAGGGAATTGAACGAATACCATTTTTAACGGCGAAAATGAGAAAAGACACCCGAAGGAGTGAGAATTTCTGGCAATCTGAAGATTCGATTCTGTAGACCTGAACTCCAGCTGGAACTTGGCAACTTTATATGTGAGTTTTTTTTCTCTAGCTCATATATATCAAATTATCAATATATTTTTGTCAAGTGCAATGTTGTATCAAAGGGTTGTCGTTAATTTAAACATTGCATAAACAACATCCAGATACGAAAATGAACATCAACATTCAACATGGACTGATGGAGTCAAGGACATGGAGCCACAGTACTCTAGTACTACTATATTTAACTTATATGTTGACCCAGTGTTGGGGGATTGGTCAAATTATACTTTATAGTGATTCCCCTAGATTAGTGCATTGGTTATTGTGCAATGACAACCTTTTTTCAGAGACCTCTCAAAGGTCAATTTCTCAGACATGCCAAGTCACTGTACATGTTTAATAATCTAATCTGTTTATTTATTTTGTTTATTTTTCTAGATTGCCAATCATTCCTGTTGAACTACATTATTCATTTCAATGAATCAGATGCAGAATCTTACAACTATGGTTAATTTGTTCAAATTTGTTCACCTGATTGGGGAAAACCTGACACTATTTGATCTTATTAGTTATTGGAATGCCTATCAAATTTACATAGCCTCAGGCAATGTTTATATAATTCATCTCGAGTAATAGAGATGCTGTACCCCCTGAGGGAGTGACCCTACTACCTGGATCATCTCACTAGGCAAGACAGGTTCAAAACTTTCCATGCATTTAACACTTGCATGGCAGTTGCTATAATAGGATATGATAGTTGCTATAATAGGATAATATAATTTTGCCTTGCCAGGGTGGCTCAGGGGATAGGATTTCCCTAGTACCTGGAGACCATATAAACAGGCCTTCAGATTACTGTAATAGTTTACTGTAATGGAGGGTTAAAAAAGCACCCCCCCCCCATGTAAAAGTGCATGGTAGGCCTGCTCCCCAATCCAGCCCCCCTTGGAAGATGTACTGCAGTAAAGCTAGACAATTTTACTTGTTAACCCATTGAGTCACTTTGCGCCCTACTTTATTATTTTACTCTGTCTATTGTCTAACACCAGACGATCCAGTTAACCTATTGAGTTACATTGTGCCCTGATGCACCCTACTTTATTATTTTACTCTGTCTAACGCCAGACGATTTTACTTGTCAAGGGGAGAGCACACTTTAACAGGGAAAGGATTAATTGGGAATACTTTCTCTAAACTATTTATCAATGAAAGGAACAATGCAATTATTCATAGTATGTAACTTTTTAGATAAAGCAAAGACTGTAGGAGGAAACATGGATCATTGGCTACTTTTTTTATTTAGTATTAATTTCCATGACAGCATGTGGGGTCAACTATAAAGGAAACAGTTATTGCCTATTTTGGAATAAAAAATTTAGAATATAGCAATATTCATTGACATTGAACACATATTTATTTAGTTTTTGAATAATTTAAGTTCTTAAATGTATATAAATGTGAAATAAAATAAACAACATTTATTAAAATAAACTTTGTATTTTTAAACCCCAATTACACTGTAGTATTTACATTTCACTGTAGTATTTACACAGTAGTAATTATACAGTAGTATTTACATATTACAAGACCTCAACCAACATCATTCCTTGGAGTTTCTCATGACAAGACGTCTCAACCAAGATCCTCTGGAGAACTTCTTTGGCCTCATTAGGCAGCAGGGGGGGATTGTGACAACCCATTAGTCCCATCCAGTTCACCAGAGCATTTTGCAAATTATTTGTAGATAATATTTTGACACCGCTTTCATCTGCCAACTGTGCTGATGATTCTGATGCCTATTTGATTGCATTTCACTCTAGCCAATCTGATTTATCTGCAGGAAATGATTAGACAAGCCCTCCACTAATCCAAGCAGTTGAAGATACCGACTACAAAACAAATGAAATTGAACAAAACTTAGTCTGCATTAACTTATGTGTCAGACTATTTAGCAAGTGCCTTATCCAACATAGCTGTCCAATATGCCATCATAATTTTGTGACAAAGGATGTCAATGACAGTAGTCCCTGCTATTCTGCATGTTCAAGACCTCTGACCTTTGAAGGCATAAGCAGTGCAGGCGGATTAACAATCCGTAAAGAAACGTTTCTTTGCTGGAGAATACATTTGTGAATGTGCTTATTAAAACAGTTGCACAGAAAGTATTAAAAACATAGGTAGTTTAACTTTTAATTTTTGCTCACAAATCCCAAAGCTACATGGAACCTGATGGAAGTGTGCAATGGAAGTGTTTCAAATCAGCAACCATGCTTTCTTATTAATGTAAAAGACAGGAAAGCAATACGTTTGGCCATTAATTTAGCGAGATGGGAATCTGCTTCTTGGCAGAACATCACAAGCATTGTAAAATATGGCCATGCGGTACAAAGATTATACTGTTTTTTTTCTTTGTATTTAGCCTATAAACGTATATCTTTTTACATAAAAATAACTACTTACCATTTATCTTTCAAATTTGAGTCCCAAAATGAAGATCGGTGGAGCAACTTCGCAAAAATATTTATTTTTCTACTTTCGAACGGTGTTTTTCCTATGCTTTTGACTGAAAACACGACGAATGACACTTGCCAGAGCAATTTGCGTGGCGCGTGGAAATGACGTTGCACGGGGACACAAAGAACAAAGGAATCGCCGCGAGTTCCGCCTCTGTATACTCTGTGACGTAGGGCTCTAAAACAATAGATTTGATGATGTCACAGTAGATTTCACGCGGAAAAAGACTCGGGACCGATGCATTCACTGATGCAAAATGGCTGAAAATCGATGCAAACCAAATCTACCGTGACGTAGGTGATGCATAAGCTTTCTACTGTGACGTCAAAGGATGCGGTAAAAAATAACATATTTTGTCGCGAAATTATTGACGTTTAACTGTCGCAAAATAAAAAGTAAATAACAAAAAGTACACATTTGCGATCGCACGTTGCATATTGGACTTATTTTTGACAATTTCGACTGTTATTGAGACTATTTAAATTGGATTTCATCCTAAATATTGTATTCCTGACATTGAGTCAAGTTTAAGCAAATATTTGCGGTTTGATAGCTGGAGAGATTCAAAGATATTCTATTACTGAGTGCTTGACCAAGTATTGACGACAGCATAATATGTCTATATATTATTTCAAGCAACATGATTTCTCAATTTTGACCGATGCATTCGCATCGTTGGCATCGGCATATATATATATATATATATATATATATATATATATATATATATATATATATATATATATATATATATATATATATATATATATATATATATAAACCTTAAACTTAAATTTTAAGCGCGCAAAGCTTATAATGGAGCACAAGTTTCAAGCTTAGTAGTTTAATATTGCAACTATTTCGGAACGAATTGTTCTCGTAAGGAGATATTTACCATGTCTGTAAGAAATAATCCCCTTATATGATTTATAAATATATATACATACTGTAGATATTCTATTCTACATAAAATTGATTTTCAGCCTTCGCCGAATGCATGCATGAGTTAATGGTAACGCATTTTATTTATTTTTAAAATTTTATATGATATTGAAATTCTCATTGGTGACTTATACAATTATAATTATGTCTAAAGACTACGGAAGAGTAAGATTTTAATGAGTTTTAACAGATTCAAACATACAGTGATCGTGAGGGTAAATTAACAGAAAAAGAGGAACTGGCTATGATTTAAAATTAAAAAAATTAATTAAAAAGCCATTACAATGAATTCCAAATGTAATATCATATAATATAATATGACATGTATATTAGAAACACCTACACTGACGTAAACTAAGCACATACTGTAGATTAATGCATTATTTTGCACGAGAGGACGCGGGCCTATAACATTTATTGAAAAGCTTGTTTCAAAGTTGAAGTTTACTGCGAAAATATGAAAATCTTCCGTTTCATGATGGTCTCTTTGGGAATTTGTGTGGTGTTCCTGACGCTTGATGCTTTTGCAGCTAGACAACACACCATTATGGTTTCGACCGACCTACCAGACGTATTCCCTATAATACGTTCCCGTAAGTCAGTTTTACTTTTATATATTTGTTTTACAGTTGAACCTGTGTATTAAGCGGTCATCCACGGGGATTTCGCAAATGACCGCTTACACGGTGACAGCCTAATACATGCAGGTCGAACTACCCGAGCGGTTAAAAAACTGTTACTGATTCTGAATAAGAACAAGAGAGAGAACTGAGTTAGAGCCGTTTTAAGTTTAGCTGTTGCGGCGTGCTAAGTTTGGTTTGGTCAACAAATTACTCTTGAAGTGGCAGCAAAATCTCTTGCGCATGCTAGGAAATTTTCGCAACGCATCACCGATTCCATTTCTTCTCTTATACCGGTCACCGTTTAATACAGTGACAAAACAATGAAACCTTATGTCTGGCACTGTGCGAAAGGTTACCGTTCAATAAAAATCACTTCAACAGCTAATTGCATTTGCAGTATGAAATTTTCGGAATTTTGCCAAATGACAGCTTAAAAAGCGGTAACCGGTTAATTAATCGGGTGCCGCTTAATACAGGTTCAACTGTAGATAGTATCTTGATAATGTTATATAGTCTAGTGGTGCCCAGTTTTATAAAACAGACGTATTTTTTGCGAACTGATAAACACAAAACAATAGTGTTCGCACAAACTCGATAAAAAAGAAAAATATGCGACATGGTATTTTTTATAGACACAAAAAAATAGTGTTCGCACAAACTGCTGCCCAGAGGAACTGCTACCTCTATTGCTGGTCAGAGAGAGTATCTACAAAATATGCTAACTGATAGGGGTGTCATAATTTCTGACACCTCTATTGCTGGCCAGGGAAAATATCTAGAAAACATGTTAACTGATAGGGCTGTCAGACTTCAGTCTCACACCCCTATTGCTGGTCAGAGAAAATATCTAAAAATTATGGTAACTGATATGTGTGTCAAAATTTCTGACACCCTAGGCCTGTTGCTGGCTAGAGGAAATATCTAAAAAATGTGCTAACTGATAGGGGTTTCAGAATTTCTGACACCCCTATTGCTGGTCAGAGAAAATATCTAAAAATTATACTAACTGATAGGGGTTGTCAGTTAGCATATTTTTTAGATATTTTCTCTGGCCAGAAATAGGGATTTCAGAAGTCCTGACACCCCTATCAGTTAGCATTTTTTTTTTAGATATTTTCTCCGGCCAGCATTAGGGGTGTTCGAAATTCTGACAACTCTCTTAAATCATCTTTTCTGATTTGTAGAGATAGGGTAGTCCAAGATTTTGACAACCCTATCTCCGAAAATCAGATTAACGATAATATAATAGGGTTGTCTGAATTTCGCGCTATTCTGTCTCTAAAAATCATAATAAATGACACAAAAGGGTTGTCAGAATTTCTGAAAATCTATGTATAACCACAAAATATTGGAGCACAGTAAAATAATTTATGGCGAAAATTCAAAATTTTATTCAATCTCTATAAGTCGTGTTTTAAAATGAACGTTGTTCTGAATAATTAATATTTTTAATTGTATACTACATACTAAGAACATATCAGTTAGCATATTTTTTAGATATTTTCTCCGACCAGCAATAGGGGTGTAAGAAATTCTGACACCCCTATCATTTAGCATATTTTTTAGTTTTATTACTTTTGGGGGTAAACCAATATTAGTTTGCACAAAGTATAAAAATGTAGCTTAAAAATGGGCCAGAAATCTTGGTAACATTTCATACAGTTTTTAAAATAAATGTTTTATGCAAATACATTTTCGTCAAAATTTAGCGGAAAATAACAAAAATTTACTTCAAATTCCTTCGAATACCCATAATATCAAATTATTTTAATATTTTGCCTAAAAATTACGTAAATTCCGCACAATATAGCAAATAATACTCAAAATAGGCATTTTGGAATTTCTCAAAATTGTTTGGAACACGTTTCAAATTAAATTAAATTAATTTAAATTATTCTATATTTTTGCCATGATGAAATTTTTGCCAGGCCGTTGGTTTTGCATCGACATATATCCCTAAGCCATTCTTATATAGGCTCCCTTAACCAATTCAAAGCACTTACTCTTAGACCATGCACTTTTCATTTATAAGTATATTTATACAATCATATTTATACAATCATATATTTATCCCCGAGCCGGCGGCGCGAAGCGCCGTGCGAGGGTACTAATCCCCCCCGGCTATTTACACCCGGGGAAACGAAAGCATTAGCGAAGTCTAAAGTTCATCAATGAGCGCGGGCGTCGGTCACCAACAGTGAACTCTAATAAGACTGGAACGATAACTCAGGTAAACATGCCCATACTTGCCTGAAGCCAACCGTGCAAGGAATTGCACTTTTAAAAGGACTAAGGAGAGTTTCGAGGAGTGGGAAATTCAGTCAAAGTTTTATATTTTCGACGAAAATGTGCAAGAAAAGTCGTTTTTCATCAAAAGACTTCAATTTTAAAAACCCAAATACGA